CACTGCATAGGCTTAAACATTATCACTCCTGATTACTTTCTGTGTTCAGGCTGCAATGCAATAGGAACATAGGAAACTGTCCTAGAACAAGTGGTACTGATTGTACTTCTACCCGAATATTGCCGTCTCTGAGTGCAGCAGCTTTCCAGGAGCTCAAGAAATGTCTTTACCACCACTTGGTACCTGATTCTTTTAATGGAATAATCTTTTAACAGGATGTCGGACTAGATGAGCCTTTGACCTGGTCCAGCAGATTCTTCTTATGATCCTATTTTATTAAAATGAAGCCCTGGTGGACCCTTGGTCCGTGACAGACCTACATTTCTATGAGTCTGTGATTTATCAGTGTTTCTGTGATAAAGTGACACATAAAGGATATATCTGATTTTCAACATGGTGCCAAAGGTGTTCCACAAACATATGCTTCTGTCAGCATTAACCACAAGTGACTCATCCAACATAATTGAAATTTAATAACATAGTTATATTATGTTCAACAAGAGGGTGGTCATTAAGAACATTTATTCAAGATTAACAGCCAGGTAATAGACACTCCAAGGATCACAACTATGGAGCAGCTGATCCAGAACACGCGGAAATTAATCTGGAGTCAAATTTACAATGGAAATTAAAATTCACCATTCAGTAACTTTCTTTTTCAACCAGATTCCATTTCATACTGAACTTTGTGAGACAGCGTACAGCCGTTCTAAATGCATATCCTTTGCAGGAAAAACACATAATTTGATATGGTAATATTTTTCTTTCAACTGTGCACTCATGTTTCACATATAGCAGATTACAAGGCTGAGAAGAGATCCAATCAAAGTCTAGGCAGGTAAAGCTCAGCAGTGTCCCCTGCCTCTGAAATAGAGATTGCTAGTGGAGCATGCAAAAAAATGTTGTAGTGTATCATCACCACCCACAGCACTCTTACATATCGTGGTCCTATTCTTAGGATTCCAGCCAGCCGGCCAAACCAAGCTGTCTTACAGGCTACTGTGAACTGAGGCTTTATCTCTTTTTCGGAAGAAATGTTAGTGTTGTCTGAGTCGTCATTATCATATCATCCTGTTTTTGGACCTTGTTACAGTTTTCATTTCATCCTTATCCTGTGGCAATACCCTAGGCACACATAGGCATGCAAAGATGGGTTTGTCCACATCTTCTTCTGTTGGTCAAGGAGGGCTTCACACACACAACAGGCTACTGCACCCACAGAGCATGTCTCCAATTCATCATATAAGAAAGGCGAACAAGTTCTCAATACTGTATGTGACTCTCCATGAGTGCATTGGACCCTTTGCTTGCATGCTGGAGCTTCCACATTTCACTTCCTTTACTAAATAAGGAATTAACACCCTGTGGTGGTTACATTTTCATTTTTAAGTCAGGAAAATATCCTCAACCCATGTTTGAAAAAGCAGTCATATACTGTATCAATTCTGATTGGTTAATTAGTATATTAAAAGCACAGTTATTACTCATATAAGAAAATGTTCCAATTGCTGTCAGCTCATATCTGAAAACCAAATGATCAATAGTTCTGTCACCTGAGTTTTGTACTTAGCTCCACTGATATTTAAGAAAGTTTGCATAGTATTAAAATTATTAGACAGCTGAGATGGCAAAATTGACATGTTTAATCAGAGAAAAGTCATTGTCAACGTTTACTAAAGATTGGAAACCTCTCATAGACTTTTTGCATGAAAAAGAAATAATGACATTTGGGTTTGAAGGTTGAAGATAATGTTGGTTTATAGATAGTGGTTGTGCTGGGTATTATATTGGAGTGGATGAGTTGAATAATGTTTCTATATAGCTGACAGATGAAGAATTGAAAGTTCCTTAGTTTCTTAACTTTATTTTTCTCTCTTCTCCCCTTCCCTTCTTTTTTCTTTCTTTTCCTATGGATCTATGTTTTTTATTTTGTCTAGATTAATGATTTAGTCTGGACAAAAAAAAAATGATAGTAAGAGAGTAAGAGTCCCTTCACATATGCAATGGTATCTTGGTTTTCGGACATAATCCATTATGGAAGACAGTTCGAGTTCTGAAACGTTCAAAAACTGAAAACTCAATAGGTGACAGCTACGCCTCAGAATCTTGCACTTAGCAGAAGCCGCACGGCATGTTTGACTTCCAAGGTATGTTCGAAAACTGAAGCGTTTACTTGCGGGTTTATGGCGTTCGAAAACCGAAATGTTCGTCAACGGAGACGTTCAAAAACTGAGGTACCACTGGAAAACACTAGTTCTTGCCTGTTCACTACATGTTACTAAATAGAACACCCCAGCAATATGAGGAAAGATGACACATGCATGGATGTTTTTGGGAAACACATCTGTCTTTTCTACAGGTCATAGTGTTGGCGCTGGAGATACCACATACTTTTGTTTTTACAAGTGGCGTTGAATGTGCAACCTTTGAAAATCCAGGTTGCAGGGTGGTAGCAGAAACATTTGGTTGGTCACCATGAGATGGGGATGCTGGACTGGACAAGCCCTTGGCCCAATTCTTGATTTCTACAGTCATATTCTACTACCACAAATACAGATTTGTTTATCATTTGCTACAAAAGGGTTGGAGGGGGGGAATGTGATTTTTGTCCACAAACCCAGCGCACACCAAGAGATCCTCCTTTCCTCAGTTTGTTCTAGTGTAGAGCAACTCACAGGTTATGGTGAACTGACCTCCCACTCACTCCAGCTGCCACCTAATCTCTCGAGAAGGGAACACAAGCTGCTCTCTTTTGCACTTACAGCTGTCAAGCCTTCGCGGGAAAGATGTGGACTAAAGTTAGCCAAGTCCGTTCTCTCTCCTCTTGTTGCCTTGGCCAAAGTTCTCACTGAATCTGTTTCTTTTCTTGCTTGTGCCTCCTTCCTGCTGACAGTTCTCATAGCATCATTCCTCACAACACCTGCCCCACTGCTGTATGTGGTACAATGACTTGAGCAGAAGCTGCCAGGTGGGGCCAAGAAGCCTCAGAGTGCCAGCATAGGGGTTGCTTAACAAATCTGTGCTGGTCCCGGGGGGTTACCGTGCGGCAAGGTCCGTGTCCAGTCCGGGATCGAGGGTGTGGTGTGTAGGCTGTCCATCAAGGCTGAAGCAGGGTCCAAGGCAAGGAGTCAGGCGAGGTCAGGAACTCTGGCAGAAGAGCAGGACATGGTGCTGGCAGGAACATGTTACCAACAATGTTGCTCCCGCAACCTGGGACTGGGGCTGACTGGCTTTTATCTGCCCCGAGGCATAGGGCAGCCCAGGTCCACAGGTGACTCGCCTCTCCTGGCCTGGAGGCGAGCACTCCTCCTGCAGGAACTTAGTTCCTCCACCTCTCTGCCCTGAGTCTCTGCAACTCAGGAGAGGCTGGAGGGTTACCGGACCCAGAGGCAACCTCCTCTTCCCCTGACGGGGCTGAGAGTGGAGCACCTGCAGGCAATGGATCCTCTGTCACCTCAGGGGCCAGAGCAGACTCAGCTGGTCCCACACTTGAGGATCCAGCACAGGTGAGGACCCTTCAGGCTCAGGCCCCAGCCCCGGCTCAGCTGGTTCTGGAGGCGGGGACTCCTGTGCAGGCTGGGATTCCTCAGGTTCAGCCTCTAAGTCCAAATCCCAGGCCATCACACCATCCCTATTTCTGCTTCAAATTACATATAAAAGCTCACTCCCACAGGAGGCAGGGATGGCCCCTAATTTGGATGGCTTTAAAAGAGGATTGGACTAATTCATAGAGTATAAGGCTATCAAGGACTACTAGATGATAGATGATAGATAGAAAGATAGATAGATAGATGATAGATAGATAGATAGATAGATAGATAGATAGATAGTTTTCCAAATTAAAATTTTACAGTCACGTGTCCAACTTACAACATAAAAACAAGATTCCAAGGAATCTCTTGGACTTCCCTCCTCCCCTTTGTGGGTCCTTTTGTTAATCATTTCATCCTGCATCTTTTATGATAATCCAAAACCTTTTACCTCTCCGTTGTGTCCAAAATTCAACATTAAACTGCAAGTGATATTCCAATCCTACTAATGATTTTAACTATTTACAATGGTTTTTAAGATAAGTTATAAATTTTCCCCATTCCTTGTTAAATTTTTGGTCTTCCTGATTTCTGATTCTTCTGGTCATTTTGGCCATTTCGGCATAATCCATCAACATGATCTGCCATTCTTCTCTGGTAGGGACTTTTTATCTTCTTTCCATCTCTGGGTCTATCAAGGAATACCATGGCAATGCTCTGCTACCATGGTTAGAAGAGGAATGCTTCTGAATACCAGTTGCTGGAAACTACAGGAGGAGAGAGGGCTCTTGTGCTCTGATCCTCCTTGAGGGTTTCCCACAGGCATGTGGTTGGCCACTTAGAGAACAAGATGCTGGAGTAGATGGGCCACTGGACTGATCCACCAGGATTTTCTTATGTTCTTACATTCCCATTAGCTTTAAAATTTGACCACATCCCTCACAATTCCATGTTCAGTGTTAACGGTCAATGAGTGTACAGTCTAAGCTGTATAAATCAACACTTGCACACACTTGCACACAAATGTCTTGCGTAGATATGGCATGCACCTGTAATATGTAATGTGTGAACAAGCCTCATGGTAACTACCATCACGGAACACTATAGTCTGTTACTTGGGCTGCAGACACACCTTCCATTTAAAGCATGTGATTTCCTGCAAAGAATCCAGGGAACTTTAGTTTCACAGAGAGAGAGAAAGAAAGAAAGAAAGAAAGAAAGAAAGAAAGAAAGAAAGAAAGAGAGAGAGAAAGCTACAGTTCCCAGTACTGTTAACTAACTACACTTCCTATGACTCTTTGGGGGAAGGCATGTGCTTCTAAAGTGCCCTAAATGAATAGTGTGTTCACAGCCACAGTTTCATCAAAGGAAGTTCTCTCCTCCCAGTTCTCCATCTCTGAGCTATTCAGAAAAGCCAAGGAGCTTATTTCAAGCGATGGATAGTTTTTCTTTTCTTTTATTTCATTTTATGAATATATCCTTGTCCTGAGTGTGTAGAAAAATCAATAGTGGCTCAATTGTAATTAGTTTAATTCATGCCATCTGAATTTTATTGATTTACCTGGCAGCTGTTTACACCTGCCTCCACTGAGTTACAGTCCCTTTACATTCCTGAAGACGCAGAACAAACCATAGAGTGCAACAAATTATAGAAATACTGCAGCCTCATCAATAGAATTGCCTCTTTTTTATTGAACTACTGGATTTCTCATAGCTATGGGGTGGGCAGCAATTTAACAGGTAAAGCTCTTTCCTATCAGTGTAGCTCCATGCTGAGGAAAGCTGCAGTCATGTTGTTCAGCTTTAACAGGTGACTATGACTCTCTGATGCTTGTCTGGTCTGTTTGTTGCACTTCCAAGACTGAAGATGGGAACATAGAACACAGCAAGGGAACATAGGAAGTTGCCTTATACTCAGTCAGATCCTCTGGTCCATCTAGCTCAGTATTGTCTAAACTGACAGGCAGCAGCTCTCTAGGGTTTCAGGCAAGAAGTTTCTCTCAGTCCAGGCCTGAGATACTGGAGATTGAGCTTTGGATTTTCTGCAGGCAAGACAGATGTTCTGCCACTAAGCCCTTTCCTAAGGGTTTAAATGCTCTAGCTAAACACATACTGTCCTATTCATCAAAGCTAAGTCCCATCAGAGACTGTGGCAAGATGGCCTTGTGTGTCCTGCTTTGCAGAGAACAGACTTCTATTTGTAGGAGTTGCCTATTTGAAAGGCTGTCCCACTCAAGTCCAATCTAAAGATGAAGAATCATATGACAGGAGAACAGGGGCTCCAAAGTTACCCATCAACAGTTAGCTCCTGAACAGCAAACTGAGTAAACACATAAGGTCACCTGGTCATAATCTATGGTGATGTGTATGATATTTACTTATTTGTTTATTTCTTAAAATCTCATTAAAAAAATCAATTTCTTTTTAAAAAATCAATTCAGATTATAACTTCTTTGTAATTTTGCACCTGTACATATAAATTAGCAGATGCACATAAGAAGAGGCTGATGGATCAAGCCAATGTCCCATCTAAGCCAGCATCTTGTTCTCACAGTGACCAACTAGATGCTGGTGGGAAGTCCATAAGCAGGACCTGAGCACAACTGCACTCTCCACTCCTATGGTTTCCAGCAACTGGTATTCAGAAACATACTACTGAAAGCAGCGGAAGCAAAATATATATTGCAGATATTAATATTGCACATTCTGAAGTGACTGGATGCATAAAAACTGACTCCTTTGGGGATGAAGCATTGTCCAGACCCATTAGGTTGTTCAAAACTTTACTTGCAGAACTTTCCTCAAAACAGAACAAAAACATCAAAGATACATCCAAATAATTCCATGTAATATTATGCAAGTCCAACACATCTTCTTAAAAATAAAATAAACTCATAATCAGAGCTCTCTCTCTCTCTCTCTCTCTCTCTCTCTCTCACACACACACACACACAGGCTCCATTGCCTGCATTCCAGCCGCTTAAACTATAAGCTCATCTTACTTTAACAAAGCCTGAGAAAAAGACTAAAGGCAACCTCCTTTCAAAATGTAGATTTGCAACCAAATACCTTTGTCGCCTGATCTAAGGTTAAACACTCACATGTTAGCTACTAGAGAACAACAATAGTTAATTATCAACTCTGAGTCCTATTCTTGGCTGCAGTATAGCCCCATGAAAAAAACCATGTTAAAGCCTTCAGTAATACACATAGCCATTTTCCATTTCAGTATCAATTAAATAATTATACTTAACAATATGGACATCAGAGTTGGTAGCCACTGATAGCCTTTTCCTCCATGAATTTGTCTAAGCCTCCATTAACGCGGGTGGCGCTGTGGGTTAAACCTCAGCGCCTAGGACTTGCCGATCGCATGGTCAGCGGTTCAAATCCCCGCGGCGGGGTGTGCTCCCGTCATTCGGTCCCAGCGCCTGCCAACCTAGCAGTTCGAAAGCACCCTTAAGTGCAAGTAGATAAATAGGGACCGCTTACCAGCGGGAAGGTAAACGGCATTCCGTGTGCTGCGCTGGCTCGCCAGATGCAGCTTGTCATGCTGGCCACGTGACCCGGAAGTGTCTGCGGACAGCGCTGGCTCCCGGCCTATAGAGTGAGATGAGCGCACAACCCTAGAGTCTGTCAAGACTGGCCCGTACGGGCAGGGGTACCTTTAGCTTTTACCATTAACGCCATCCAAGTTGGTGGCCATCACTGTTTCTTGTGGGGGAAATGTATGCACTTTGTGCAAATCAGTGTTTCTCCTTTTTCTTTTTGGTGATGCCCTCCCTCTTTTTCCCCATCACATTAGTTGGCTCACCACATGTTGAAGTAAGTGAAATAATACTCTTTACCATCTAAACAGAAGGCCTGTAAACTGATTTAGTCTGAAGTCTAAAGTTACTTAACCACAAGGCCAGGACTTTTGCTTCCAGGCATCAGGTACACTGCCCTCCACCTCCGAGAATTAGGGTCAGCGGAAGGACTTTATTAATTGCCATTATTAACCTGCATCTCAACTAGAGCCTTTACGAATTATTACTGTATAATTTTGCTAGTGGCCCTTCAGGGTCAGTCGCTTGCAATTGCCATACAGGAACCCTGCCTTCTGCCTGGGGTACCAAGCAAAACCAATTGGGTCATTAATTACAGGCCAGGACTCTGCTGGAGTTGAATGCTTTTTCTCATTAACACCCAATTCCAACATTTAGAACAGGGTGTTATTCACTGACCCTGAACTCAGAATTATTAGGTTTTGGCATGTGGCGGCGGGTGGCTGTGTGCATGCATCTGTGTGGACCTAAGCAAAGAAGCAGGCTGCTAGGTGACAGGCTCAGAGCTTGAACAGCCTCAGTTGCTGCAGAAAATGCTGAAGAGAAACTAGAAAGGGCAGCATATTTCCAACTAGAGCTGTGCTGAATATTCTCCACTCTGGTGTTCAGGAGACACAGAAATGCCGCTGAGCCACCCCCCCCCCCCACTCTCTTAGATGGGCTGACATTCGCTTTTTACCATTCTTGTTGATGCCAATTGTTTCACCAGACTGCTGCTGCATTTCATGTAATTTTCACCTTGAGAGCCAGTGTGGTATAGTGGTTAGAGTGTTGGACAAGGACCACAAAGGCAAGAGTTGAAATCCCCACTCAGCCATGTGAAGCTCACTGGTTGGCCTTACACCATTCACTGCCTCTCAGCCTAACCTACCTTGGAGGGATGTTGTGGGGGATTACACGAGGAGAGAGGGAAGAACCCTGTATGCCACCTTGAGATCTTAGGAGGAAAAAGATGGGACACAAGTGCAAAAGTAAATATTAAATACAATAAAAGGATTGGTGACATGGCTACATTTGGTTACATGGTAATACTGCTCAATGAGAACAATGGAAAGCAAGGGCAGATCAGTCCAATGCTTCCTTGATTAGATACCTCTCAGGAAGGGAAAATGCAATGAATGATGTCCTACTAATCATATTTGGCTATGTGGTAACACAACCGACAGCGCATGAAGTTGAGAGACAGAGAAACTGATAAGAAATGGGCAGTTCACATAAACAGTCAATTCTATCCAAAAGGAGTACTGAAGAGTATCAAAGTGCAAGATATTGTTCAGCAGGATCAAAAATATTTATGAGAAACTTTGACATTGTTTTCTCAGCCCTAGTTAGAGGAAAGCCATTACTTACATTGGTCTTACTTTCGCTGAAGTAGCAAAGGGCCAGTCTAGACAGAAAAGGGGACATGTGGCTCTTTAAAATCAGCAACTGGTTAAAGAAGAGGAAGTAGAGAGTAGGGATAAATGAACAATCTTCACGATGTAAGTGGAGTCCTTTCCACAGGTCTATCTTGGGAATAGTACTGCTTACTTATTTATAAATGATCTGGAGTCGGTGGTGAGAAGTGAGATAGTCAAGTTTAGAGATGACACCAGATTATTCAGGATAATGAAAATCCAAGAGGCTTGCAAAAAAACAAAAACTCTCTTCAATGGGTGAATGGGCAATAAAGCAGCAAATGAGGTTTAAATTAAGTAATGCACATCCTAGCAAAGAAAGTAATGCAAAACATCCAAATTTTGCATTTCTATTGAGGGAGCCTGAACTGGCCACGGGTAGCCAGGAGATGAATCCTAAAGTTGTGGTGGCAAGAAAAAAAATGAAAATATCAGCTTATTTCTAGTAGTGGTGAAAAAGGGGGGAAGATTGAAAATAAAATAGCCAGTATTGTAACACCTTTATTGGCATTGACTTTATGTAGTGTAGTTGCATTTGGAATGCTGTGTATGGTCCGGGTTGCAACATCTCAAAAAGGATATTCTAGAACTGGAAAGGTGCAGAAATGGGCAACCAAAATGATCAAGGGGCTGGGGTATCTTTCCTAAAAGGTAAGGCTAAGGAAGGAATCCTAAATCCCATAAGAGAGTGGCAGGCCTCAGTGACCACCACTGCATACAAAGCCCTGTCAGTCACATCAGCCAGGACAGAAGGGGTGATGGCGATTCCATCCTGTGCTTTGCTGCATGAACTCTAGGGATTTGGGACTATTCAGTTTAGGGGGAGAAAGGTAGCCCAGATGAGTCATGATAGAAAGATATAAAATCATGCAAGGTGTGGAAGAAGCAAATAGAGGTCATCTTCTCTCCCTTACTCATCATTAGGGATGGGTGAATATATCAATTTCAGTTTCTCTCAGTTTTCTCCCATCGGTTATCCACATTTCTACATCAGTTTGGGATTTTTTTAATTCCTCAATTCTGCATTTTGATGTCCATTTCTCCAAATACAGTGGTACCTCAGGTTACAGGAGGCCCCATTAGCTAAAGTGGTGCTTCAGGTTAAGAACAGTTTCAGGTTAAGTACGGACCTCCAGAACGAATTAAGTACTTTTTTGCAAACCAATTTCCCTTAATATAATCCATTCTTCTTTGTTCTATTAACTAATGCATGCATTTATGTACACACACTTGACCCTAGCAAATATGCTTTCATACACATTACTTGGCCAGAGAACTGCATTGCAAAATGTGTGAATTTGGAAGGATGGCCATGTTTCAATTTGCAAATTGTTTTGAAAATTGTGAATTAGGGAAGTTTGCCTCTAAAAGCAAACGGAATCAAATTTCTCCCTCATCCCTACACATGATACTAGAATTCTGAGTCAGTCAAGAAAATAGATCGGTGATAGCTTCAGACAGAAGGAAGTACTTTTCAGCTAATTAACTGACAGAATTTACTACCACAAGGTACAGTGGCAGTACCTTAGATCTACTGGCAGATCAGTTACAGTTTTCTGACTGTGGTTTAGCAACAGCAAAAAGGCTTCCCCCTCTCCCTCCCTCTAAATTAGACTCTTAGAATTTCTAATCTGTAGTAACTCAAATGTAGATTTCTACTTGCAGATCTGAAGTGTGAAAGGTAATTGTTTCCATCTTGTGAGCCACCATTTTACATTCTATTCCAGTAGATCTCAGGACGCAAATAAAAATACAAAGTAGATCTCACAAGGCTGAAGTCTGCCCACGTGTGCCTTAGGTGACTTTAGAAGGGGACTGGACCAATTTATGGAACACAGGTATATCCATGGCTGTAAGTCATAATAATTAAAGAAAACTTCCATCCTCAGAGGCAATATACCACTGAAGAATATTTGTTGAGGAACAGCCACTGTAGAAGAGTTCTAGTTACAGGTAGGTTGCTGTGTTGGTCTGCCGTAGTCGAAACAAAATAAAAAAATTCCTTCCAGTAGCACCTTAGAGACCAACTAAGTTTGTTATTGGTATGAGCTTTCGTGTGCATGCACACTTCTTCAGATATACTGAAACAGAAGTCACACGAAAGTTCATACCAATAACAAACTTAATTGGTTTCTAAGGTGCTACTGGAAGGAATTTTTTTATTTTGTAGAAGAGTTGTGAGCTAACCAGAGGCATCTTGCTGGCCAGCGTGGGAAGCGAGATGCTGGGTGTGATAAACCAGGTGTTGGCCCTGCAGATGTTGTTGAACTACAACTCCCATCAGCCACAGCAAGCATCACCAATGGCCAAGGGTGATGCGAATCAGCAACATCTGCAGGGTCAAAGGTTCCCCACACTTGGTCTATCATATCCAGCATCTTGTTTCCCACAGGTCAGAAGGCAGAATGGATGGCTGAACGCCAGTAGTTTGGTGGCAAAGGAGGAGGACATGGTGACTTCCCTCAGTAACACATTGCTGAAACAGAGGAAAGTGAGGTGGTCTGGGAGCCTTCAGGACAGCCAGTAGTGCTGGATTGGCCCTCTGCTATCATCCAGCCAGGGGGACAACTGGTTGTTGTGTGAATGTTTCAGCTGAAACTTTCCCTGTTAGGAAGCCAAGTGAGAAAAGGGCTGTAAAGCACTTTGCATGTTGAAAGTTTTCCATAGTTATTATAATTTGACCTCAGGAAACAGAATATAAATACCAAGAAAAATGGCACAGGTCTTTAGGTGTCAGAAGAACCTTTCAGCCATCCACATCTCAAATTGAGTTTTATTTCCTCAGAGCTCCTGAGAAAATTAATGCCTATAATTAATCTCTGTGTAATATCCAGACAACTCAAGTCAGCCTTTTACTAAGAAGTCCCCAGGCTATATTTCTACAAAGCCTGTCAGATTTAGATCATTGTCCATTTTGCCTTGACATCTATGGCACTCCACAAGCACATAGGTGGGGGACAGGTAAGTGTCTGGTGTTAGCACCTGATGCAAATATCTGTTGTGCTGTGAAGCCATGGTGATTCAATGGGCAATCCTCTCAAGAACGGCCACATTTAATAATAAATAAAATGAATATTATGTAAGAATGGGGTGATCTATCAAATTGTCACCAATCATGCCACAAGCACAAAGCTACTCTGCTTTTAATATCACAAGTAAGGCCCTTCCTTGGGTACTCTTGTCACTAGGGATGGAAGTATCTGTCGGTTTTGGTTCTCTTCATTTCTCTCTTTTTTCCCCAATCTTAAATTTAGTTCTCTATATTTCTGCAGCAATTTGTGGGGTGTGGGGTTTTTTAAAAAAAAGATCCTCCAAAAATTCATCAGCATTTTAGTGCAAATTTCTCCAGTTAAACACATTTTTGTATGCAGTTATAACTCAATACACATACACATTTTTACAAGCAAATTCCTCAATGGATGTTTGTATATAGTTTCAATAATATTTTCATTTTTATGCACATATTCCCCTAATGGAGACATTGTTTGGTTGAAGAACTGCATTGCAAAGGTTAACTGCATTTCCGTTTTCTTGTTTTGGAAAGTGATGATTTGATAGATTTTCTTTTAAATGCGAACCAAATCAAATTTCTCTGCAATCCCTACCTGCCACAGGAAAACAGGCCATTATCAGAGAGAGAACCTTTTTGCGGTGACACCTCAGTTTTGAATCTCTCTCTGTAGAGAAGTCTAGCTGGTTCCAGTGCTGCTGCCACTTAAGTATCAGACATAGACCATCTTATTTCTACAAGATTGATTTAACAACAATGGCTTTTATGTGTTTTCTTTTGGTTTGTTGCTTAGATCACCATAGTGCAATTTTCTCCTTCCTCTAGTTTCCTTTATTGTTGTATTGTTTATTGTCATGAATGCCCCCCCTTATAAATGGAAAAACAGGATATACATTTCTTAAAACAAATATCAAAGAAAACATCCAACAGGTGTTTACTTGCAATTACAATAGTAATCTGGTAAATCTCAGTTTTCCAAGTAAAAATATAGTTCAGCGAGTCCTGGTAAAATATGATATCATGGCAACACAAGCGCAACCTTGAAAGAAGAAATTAGACTATGTGCAGTAAATGGGTCACAACTGCGCATATATTATTGTGCTAAAAATGAAATCTGGGAAATGAAAGGCCCTTAGTTGTTTCACTTAGTGGCCAATAGATGAGACCACATGCTGAACCATTTATTAACCCAAGATTCATCAGCCTCTCTACCACATGGTTTTTCTCATGCAAACAAAAACTGTAGTCTATGAAACAGTCGATGGTGATGCTTGCAGCACTGTGCAAAACTTGTCACTCCAGCAGTCAAAATGACTTCCACACATCAGGACAGATTTTAGCCTTGAAATGAAATTCACGCCAGAGGCAATTGGCATATCAGCGTAAAACAAGTGAATTTGCAGCCACAGGTTTCTGGCTCCATCCCACTGTCCATCTCTTTTCCGTCTCATTTATCGCCTTCTTTTATCTGGTGGCTGCCTTTGCTATGCATCAAATTCTCCCTTACAAAAATAATAATGCTCCTAATAAAATGCTCAGAAGACATTACGGCCTCTGATGCTTTATTTGAACGCCGTCCTTCTGTCCAATCTGAATAATGGTGCCGTGCCTAGGACTTAGCCAGCCAGCACTTTTGCAGTCAAGAAAGTGACAGACCCTGCTCACTGCAGCAAAGGGAGTGAGAAAAAGAGACTGGGGGAAGAGGGTGGCTGGGGGGGGGGGTGAATAGCCTGAGACTCAGCTGCAGCCATTTATCTTCTGAAGCTGGGCTATTAGACAGATGACAGAGGGAGAGAAGCAGCCAGCAAAGGCACTGAAACCCAGGCTCCTTCCAGTTGGTGATTTATCTCCCAGCTTCATCTGGCAAACTTGCTGATGGAAGGACTCTTCCTTTCTCTGCGCCTCATCAATTCTCATTCTCATTGCATTCCCCCCCCCACCCTCTTTAGAAAAGATTTCTAGTTTCTTTTCATTTAACTACTATCTCTCCCTTGTTCTTTTTCAATCTCTCATTATCTTCCTACTTCTTTATCTCGGCTCATTCCTACCCCTGCCTTTCTGCTGCTCTCCCCCTCTCCCCGATCTCCCTCATTACAGCTCTACTTCAGTTCCTTCTGTGGGTCTGGAAAGGAGAATCTTTCTCGTGCTCACCATTTTGTGGGTATTTTGAGCTGAGGCCTTTCAGAATTGAAAAAAAGAGCAGACAAGAATTAAGAATGTTCCCAGCAAAGATTGTGCTATATTTTGACCTGGGAAAATGAGATTTCCCCCCTGCTTGCTATTGCAATTGCAAGCAGTATAGACACCGATTGGATATCTGTTTTATTTGTTGTTTGTTCCCACAGTGGCCAACCAGATGCCTATGGTAACAGTGGCGTAGCGTGGGTTGTCAGCACCCGGGGCAAGGCAAGTAATTTGCGCCCCCTAACCCTGAGTGAGCCAGGTAGGGGCAGAGAGCTGTGAGTGCGAGTGCCCCCCCCAGATGTTGCGCCCGGTGCGGCCGGCCCCCCCTGCACCCCCCACGCTACGCCACTGTATGGTAACACTGAAACTGAAAGTAGTATATAGCCATCAAGACTACAACCCATTGATAGCCTTATTGTCCATTAATTTGTCTAATTCCTTTTTAAAGCTGTACAGGTTGGAGGTCACTGCCACATATTGTTGCCA